TACATTAGGTTAAGGTCACTTTAGGTTAAGGTTAGGTCAGGTTCCATCATGTTTGGTTACGTTAATACAGTGTATTATTGACAATGATGTGAAATGTACTAACGTGTACTGTATATGTACACAGGCTGCCTGTCCCCTGACACATCAAATTATTCCCTAGTAAAATTCTTCAAAAAAAGCGTTTTGAGCATTCACATTTTATATTTTAAATCAACGATTAATAAAGTAATATAGTTATAACTTGAGAATAATCTCCTATTTAGGACAAATGTTCATTTTCCAGTTTACATGTAGACTATTACTGGGACCATAATAAGGTTTCAGACCATCACAAATATGAAGATAATTATCCAGGTGGTTAGAGGGGATAGAGGGTGGGGGGGGGGGGTTGTTATAGTGATAAACTGACTGTGAGGAAAGACTTGTAGGTGGCAGCAGTGTTGTAGGTGGCAGCAGTGTTGTAGGTGGCAGTAGTGTTGTAGGTGGCAGTAGTGTTGTAGGTGGCAGTAGTGTTGTAGGTGGCAGTAGTGTTGTAGGTGGCAGTAGTGTTGTAGGTGGCAGCAGTGTTGTAGGTGGCAGTAGTGTTGTAGGTGGCAGCAGTGTTGTAGGTGGCAGTAGTGTTGTAGGTGGCAGTAGTGTTGTAGGTGGCAGTAGTGTTGTAGGTGGCAGTAGTGTTGTAGGTGGCAGCAGTGTTGTAGGTGGCAGCAGTGTTGTAGGTGGCAGCAGTGTTGTAGGTGGCAGTAGTGTTGTAGGTGGCAGTAGTGTTGTAGGTGGCAGTAGTGTTGTAGGTGGCAGCAGTGTTGTAGGTGGCAGCAGTGTTGTAGGTGGCAGTAGTGTTGTAGGTGGCAGTAGTGTTGTAGGTGGCAGTAGTGTTGTAGGTGGCAGTAGTGTTGTAGGTGGCAGTAGTGTGTGTGGCAGCAGGTGGCAGTAGTGTTGTAGGTGGCAGCAGTGTTGTAGGTGGCAGCAGTGTTGTAGGTGGCAGTAGTGTTGTAGGTGGCAGCAGTGTTGTAGGTGGCAGTAGTGTTGTAGGTGGCAGCAGTGTTGTAGGTGGCAGTAGTGTTGTAGATGGCAGCAGTGTTGTAGGTGGCAGCAGTGTTGTAGGTGGCAGCAGTGTTGTAGGTGGCAGCAGTGTTGTAGGTGGCAGTAGTGTTGTAGGTGGCAGTAGTGTTGTAGGTGGCAGTAGTGTTGTAGGTGGCAGTAGTGTTGTAGGTGGCAGCAGTGTTGTAGGTGGCAGTAGTGTTGTAGGTGGCAGCAGTGTTGTAGGTGGCAGCAGTGTTGTAGGTGGCAGTAGTAGTGTTGTAGGTGGCAGTAGTGTTGTAGTGGCAGCAGTGTTGTAGGTGGCAGTAGTGTTGTAGGTGGCAGTAGTGTTGTAGGTGGCAGCAGTGTTGTAGGTGGCAGTAGTGTTGTAGGTGGCAGCAGTGTTGTAGGTGGCAGTAGTGTTGTAGGTGGCAGTAGTGTTGTAGGTGGCAGCAGTGTTGTAGGTGGCAGCAGTGTTGTAGGTGGCAGTAGTGTTGTAGGTGGCAGTAGTGTTGTAGGGGGCAGTAGTGTTGTAGGTGGCAGTAGTGTTGTAGGTGGCAGCAGTGTTGTAGGTGGCAGCAGTGTTGTAGGTGGCAGCAGTGTTGTAGGTGGCAGCAGTGTTGTAGGTGGCAGCAGTGTTGTAGGTGGCAGCAGTGTTGTAGGTGGCAGCAGTGTTGTAGGTGGCAGTAGTGTTGTAGGTGGCAGCAGTGTTGTAGGTGGCAGCAGTGTTGTAGGTGGCAGCAGTGTTGTAGGTGGCAGTAGTGTTGTAGGTGGCAGTAGTGTTGTAGGTGGCAGCAGTGTTGTAGGTGGCAGTAGCGAGTGTTGTAGGTGGCAGTAGTGTTGTAGGTGGCAGCAGTGTTGTAGGTGGCAGCAGTGTTGTAGGTGGCAGTAGTGTTGTAGGTGGCAGTAGTGTTGTAGGTGGCATTAGTGTTGTAGGTGGCAGTAGTGTTGTAGGTGGCAGTAGTGTTGTAGGTGGCAGCAGTGTTGTAGGTGGCAGTAGTGTTGTAGGTGGCAGCAGTGTTCAGGTGGCAAGTGTTGTAGGTGGCAGTAGTGTTGTAGGTGGCCCCTAGTGTTGTAGGTGCTCACCTGTCCTCAGCTGGTGCTCACCTGTCCTCAGTAGTGTTCTAGGTGGCAGCAGTGTTGTAGGTGGCCTCAGCTGTTGTCCTGTCCTCAGTGGTGTTGTACCTGTCCTCAGCTAGTGCTCTCCTGTCCTCAGCTGGTGCTCACCTGTCCTCAGCTGGTGCTCTCCTGTCCTCAGCTGGTGCTCACCTGTCCTCAGCTGGTGCTCTCCTGTCCTCAGCTGGTGCTCACCTGTCCTCAGCTGGTGCTCACCTGTCCTCAGCTGGTGCTCACCTGTCCTCAGCTGGTGCTCACCTGTCCTCAGCTGGTGCTCTCCTGTCCTCAGCAGGTGCTCACCTGTCCTCAAGAGTTAATTAAGTCATTAGTGCGGGTGGCAGACGGGCGTCTTGGAGGAGCCGAAGTGTCAGAGAAAACTGGGGTTGGGGGAGTGGGGGTAATTCAGGTAAACTAGCGTCTCATTACCCCCCTACCTGTCCTCAGCTGGTGCTCACCTGTCCTCAGCTGGTGCTCACCTGGGGACACGTGCTCAGCTGGTGCTCACCTGAGGACACGTGCACAGGTGGTGCTCACCTGAGGACACGTGCTCAGCTGGTGCTCACCTGTCCTCAGCTGGTGCTCACCTGTCCTCAGCTGGTGCTCACCTGTCCTCAGCTGGTGCTCACCTGTCCTCAGCTGGTGCTCACCTGTCCTCAGCTGGTGCTCACCTGTCCTCAGCTGGTGCTCACCTGTCCTCAGCTGGTGCTCACCTGTCCTCAGCTGGTGCTCACGTGAGGACACGTGCTCAGCTGGTGCTCACCTGGGGACACGTGCTCAGGTGGGGCTCACCTGTCCTCAGCTGGTGCTCACCTGGGGACACGTGCTCAGGTGGGCCTCAGCTGGGGACACGTGCTCAGGTGGTGCTCACCTGAGGACAAGTGCTCAGGTGGTGCTCACCTGAGGACAAGTGCTCAGGTGGTGCTCACCTGAGGACAGGTGCACAGGTGGTGCTCACCTGAGGACAGGTGCTCAGCTGGTGCTCACCTGGTAACAGGTGCTCAGCTGGTGCTCACCTGGATACAGGTGCTCAGCTGGTGCTCACCTGGGGACAGGTGCTCAGCTGGTGCTCACCTGAGGACAGGTGCTCAGCTGGTGCTCACCTGAGGACACGTGCTCAGCTGGTGCTCACCTGAGGACAGGTGCTCAGCTGGTGCTCACCTGAGGACAGGTGCTCAGCTAGTGCTCACCTGAGGACACGTGCTCAGCTGGTGCTCACCTGAGGATACGTGCTCAGCTGGTGCTCACCTGAGGACAGGTGCTCAGCTGGTGCTCACCTAAGGACAGGTGCTCAGGTGGTGCTCACCTTACTCTCACGAGAGAAAAAAGGGAGCCGGCGGTTGAGCGGACAGAACACTGGACGCGTGATCCTGTGGTCCCGGGTTCGATCCCGGGCGCCGGCGAGAAACAATAGGCAAAGTTTCTTTCACCCTGATGCCCCTGTTACCTAGCAGTAAAATAGGTACCTGGGTGTTAGTCAGCTGTCACGGGCTGCTTCCTGGGGGTGGAGGCCTGGTCGAGGACCGGTCCGCGGGGACGCTAAGCCCCGAAATCATCTCAAGATAACCTCAAGATAAGGTATATCTGTAACTTGTCGGGAGGTATATCTGTGGTTCAAGTGAGAATACCAGATAATACTCAAACACCGAGTATAACGCATGAATCATACCCACAGTGAGTATATCCCCAGAACCATACCCACAGTGAGTATACCCCAGAACCATACCCACAGTGAGTATACCCCAGAACCATACCCACAGTGAGTATACCCCCAGAACCATACCCACAGTGAGTATACCCCCAGAACAATACCCACAGTGAGTATACCCCCAGAACCATACCCCCAGTGAGTATACACCCAGAACCATACCCACAGTGAGTATACCCCCAGAACAATACCCACAGTGAGTATACCCCCAGAACCATACCCACAGTGAGTATACCCCCAGAACCATACCCACAGTGAGTATACCCCCAGAACCATACCCACATTCACACAACGAGGACTCCGTTATACCAAACTCACAAAATATACTCCAGATAATAGCATACCACCGTTATACCACAAGAGGAAGCTATACTCAAGACATACACAGCGCTGATTCACGTCTCTCCCTCGTGAACATGAACAATAATATACATAATTATACAGTAATATACATTAATATACATAATTATACAGTAATATACATTACACGAATATACGACCCTGTTCTTCCGGTCCAGAATTAAGGAATGAAAATTGTTACTTCCGGGACCTTGCGAGTCTCTTAAGTATGTTAAGTGTCTGGTACTGTCTTAAGTCGGTCGTCATCTTAAGTGTCTTAAGTGTCTGTCACTGTCTTAAGTGTCTGTTAGTAAGTGTCACTGTCTTAAGTGTCTATCACTGTTTATCACTGTCTGTCAACAGCCCGTTTTCTCCATTTGCCATAATTTTAATTTGGTAAAAATTAAATTGTTTTGACTAACCAGAAACGTACAAAGCCAAGCAACCTAACCTAACCTGTCGAGGCCGACGCATAGAAAACGTAAATATTACGGCGCTTGAATTTGTCCTAATACGTCGTATTTTTAACGTATTGGATTAAGAAACAATATGAACCTCAGCTAATATATTTTCTCACAGTTACCCGTCTCTGTCTCCTCGTTTTCCTTTAAGGACGAATTTCTTTGTTATTATATTTTTGGTTTAATTTTTATATTTTATATCTTTATATATTTTATATATTTTATATCTTTATTATTATATTTTTGGTTTAATTTTTATATTTTATATCTTTATATATTTTATATATTTTATATCTTTATTATATTTTTGGTTTAATTTTGGCGCTGCCTCGTGTCCCTAAGATGGCGGGAAGGTTGCCCACTTACGAGACGGGATGCGGGGGAGTCGTTTTGACCTCCGGGTGTTTCTCATCCGGGTGTTTCTCATCCGGGTGTTTCTCATCCGGGTGTTTCTCCTCCGGGTGTTTCTCCTCCGGGTGTTTCTCATCCGGGTGTTTCTCATCCGGGTGTTTCTCATCCGGGTGTTTCTCATCCGGGTGTTTCTCCTCCGGGTGTTTCTCATCCGGGTGTTTCTCATCCGGGTGTTTCTCATCCGGGTGTTTCTCCTCCGGGTGTTTCTCCTCCGGGTGTTTCTCATCCGGGTGTTTCTCATCTGGATGTTTCTCATCCGGGTGTTTCTCATCCAGGTGTTTCTCATCTGGATGTTTCTCATCCGGGTGTTTCTCATCTGGATGTTTCTCATCCGGGTGTTTCTCATCTGGATGTTTCTCATCCGGGTGTTTCTCATCCAGGTGTTTCTCATCCGGGTGTTTCTCATCCAGGTGTTTCCCATCCGGGTGTTTCTCATCCGGGTGTTTCTCATCCGGATGTTTCTCATTAGGGTGTTTCTCATCCGGGTGTTTCTCATCCGGGTGTTTCTCATTCATGTGTTTCTCATCCGGGTGTTTCTCATCCGGATGTTTCTCATCCGGGTGTTTCTCGTTAGGGTGTTTCTCGTTAGGGTGTTTCTCATCCGGGTGTTTCTCATCCGGGTGTTTCTCATTCATGTGTTTCTCATCCGGGTGTTTCTCATTCATGTGTTTCTCATCCGGGTGTTTCTCATCCGGGTGTTTCTCATTAGGGTGTTTCTCATCCGGGTGTTTCTCATTCATGTGTTTCTCATCCGGGTGTTTCTCATTCATGTGTTTCTCATCCGGGTGTTTCTCATCCGGGTGTTTCTCATCCGGGTGTTTCTCATTCATGTGTTTCTCATCCGGGTGTTTCTCATCCGGGTGTTTCCCATCTGGGTGTTTCTCACCCGGGTGTTTCTCACCCGGGTGTTTCTCACCCGGGTGTTTCTCACCCGGGTGTTTCCTATCCGGCCATTGCTCATCCAACATTTTCTCTTTTATGGAGCGTCATCGCTATGTGCTATGTTGAGTCCTAACTTCCGGTATGTAGGGCTATGTTGTTCTATACTGGCTTATTATACAATATGTTGGTTGTAAACTATGCTGTGGGTTACTATGTAGGGCTATGTTGTTCTATACTGGCTTATTATACAATATGTTGGTTGTAAACTATGTTGTGGGTTACTATGTAGGGCTATGTTGTTCTATACTGGCTTATTATACAATATGTTGGTTGTAAACTATGAGTTACTATGTAGGGCTATGTTGTTCTATACTGGGTCATTATACAATATGTTGGTTGTAAACTATGCTATGCTGAGTATACACTATACTATGCTGGTGGTAAACTCAAGCTGTAGTGAGGTTACCGTTCTCTCTCAGTTTGCCACTCCGTAAGAAATGCAACTGTTTTACCTTGCCAGAAACGTACAAACCCCAGCAACCCACCTAACCTGTCGAGGCCAATGCATAAAAAACGTTAATATTACGGCGCTTGAATAGGTATTAATACGTTTAATTTTTAACGGATTGGTCAATTCCGTTAAGAAAATGACGTATTAAGTGAGAGGACGGTAATGTATTCATTCACTGTCCTTTGAGACGCGAGTATGTCACGCATACTTTATGAGTATGTCACGCATACTTTATGAGTATGACCCAGGTATTGTATGAGTATGACCCAGGTATTGTATGAGTATGACCCGGGTATTGTATGAGTATGACCCAGGTATTGTATGAGTATGACCCGGGTATTGTATGAGTATGACCCGCGTATTGTATGAGTATGACCCGCATATTGTATGAGTATGACCCGCATATTGTATGAGTATGACCCGCGTATTGTATGAGTATGACTCGCGTATTGTATGAGTATGACCCGCATATTGTATGAGTATGACCCGGGTATTGTATGAGTATGACCCGCATATTGTATGAGTATGACCCGGGTATTGTATGAGTATGACCCGGGTATTGTATGAGTATGACCCGGGTATTGTATGAGTATGACCCGCATATTGTATGAGTATGACCCGGGTATTGTATGAGTATGACCCGGGTATTGTATGAGTATGACCCGCATATTGTATGAGTATGACCCGCATATTGTATGAGTATGACCCGCATATTGTATGAGTATGACCCGCATATTGTATGAGTATGACCCGCATATTGTATGAGTATGACCCGCATATTGTATGAGTATGACCCGCATATTGTATGAGTATGACCCGCATATTGTATGAGTATGACTCGCGTATTGTATGAGTATGACCCGCATATTGTATGAGTATGCCGGTCGGCCAAGTGGACAGCACGCTGGACTTGTGATCCTGTGGTCCCGGGTTCGATCCCGGGCGCCGGCGAGAAACAATGGGCAGAGTTTCTTTCACCCTGATGCCCCTGTTACCTAGCAGTAAAATAGGTACCTGGGTGTTAGTCAGCTGTCACGGGCTGCTTCCTGGGGGTGGAGGCCTGGTCAAGGACCAGGCCGCGGGGACACTAAAAGCCCCAAAATTATCTCACGATAACCTCAAGATAACCGGGGATCGAACCCGGAACCTCAGGGCTACGAACCCGAAGCGCTGTCCACTCAGCCGTCAGGCGCCGTCAAGGTCAGGTGGGAACTCTCAAGGCTTGTGTAAAAGTCAACTTGCTATAAATACCTACATCCATTTCCCAACAATTGCTGTCGGGCTAATTGGCTGGTAGTTAAGAGGGGGTCAGAGCTCCCTTCCTATTATTTATTACAGTAAGTCAATTCCTAGATGAGAGCCGTGAGCCAGATTAACCATTGACACCTTCTCTTACGAAACCTGTACATCTTACCTTAATAATGGAGGGTATTTCTTCAATGATTAAATAGTTTACGAGTTGGGAAACTTCACAACCCAAGGTTATTATTGTTATAAACAACCTCGTAGAGCTTCGCAGATCATAAACTCTTTAATAAATATAAACAAAGCCACAATAATTGAGGAAAGATGTAGAGGTTTCGTCAGTGGTTATGTAAATACCTCATGACTCCCGACCCCTGGAGGTTTGTATTAATTAACGGTAATTTCAATTATAACATTGTCTTAGCTTAATAATGTTCTGTAATTTTGTGTAGACTAATTCGTTGATGAACTGTTCACTTGAGACAGTTAAGCAAGTCCCAGCTGTGTCTGGGTACAAGTGACAGGATGAACAACCCAGCGGGTTTTCTTCCTATTGGGGAGTGTTGTACATGCTGCTATGGCGGTGTGTCCACTCACAGGATGAGTGGCGCTGCCCAATACTGTCACTATGGCGGTGTGTCCACTCACAGGATGAGTGGCGCTGCCCAATACTGTCACTATGGCGGTGTGTCCACTCACAGGATGAGTGGCGCTGCCCAATACTGTCACTATGGCGGTGTGTCCACTCACAGGATGAGTTGCGCTGCCCAACTCCATCCAGTGTCGAAACCAAACAAAATATAGGATGGAATAATAAACCCCTAACAGTTTCCCGATAGCCAAGAGGCAGGCGGGGCCCAAGAGCTGGGCTCAACAGCGCTCACTGAAAAGCCAGGTACCGCCATTAAAGCGGCCCCGCGCTCGCCACACGGCCAATTCGAGCGGAGGTGATAAGTGATTTTAAGGGCAAAATGTAGTGTGTGTGTTTGTTTAGGGTCGGGAGCCAGATAGTCTGTCTCGCCCAGCCACTGGTGCCCGGGGCGCTCCTGGCTGTGCCCAACCACTAAGGCTCAACGGTAGAGCGACGGTCTCGCTTCATGCACGTCGGCGTTCAATCCCCGACCGTCCACAAGTGGTTGGGCACCATTCCTTCCCCCCCGTCCCATCCCAAATCCTTATCCTGACCCCTTCCCAGTGCTATATAGTCGTATTGGCTTGGCGCTTTCCTCTGATAACTCCCTCCTCTCCTTGCTGTATTTGGTCTGTGGTCCCAGACCTGCTATCATCAGGTCTGCCACATTCCCTCCCTCTCCACATTTAGCCCCTCACAGCTTGTAACACCCACACAAAGCTGCACATCGAAGCGCTGCGTCAAAAATGTGTGAAGTGGTTGTAAATCAGGCTGAAGTTCACCATCTTCTTAACGCACTCAACACAAGTAAGGTCGGAGGGCCTGATAAGGTCAGCGCGATACTCAGTGCCCCTCTCACCCGCCTCTTCTAGCTCTGCCCACCTCCACCAATCTGGCACTCCTTACGGAAGAGGTCAGACGTTGTTCCATTACACAGAGACGTTCGGTGATCGGCAACTACAGTCTAGTGTCACTGCTTTCTATTATTGTCATACTTCTTGAAGCATTAATCTCTCAGTAAATGGTATCATTTTTGACCATTGTGACCTACTATGTGATCGACAGTATCGGTTTTAGATCCGCTGCTGATCTCTTGGTAAATCTCTCCAGTAAGTGGCATCAGTCACTGGATGAGTCCAAGATGAGCTGTGTTGCTGCTCTAGACACAGCAGGAGCCCTTGATCGGGTCTGCCACTCTGGATTAGTAAGAACATAAGAACAAAGGCAAATGCAGAAGGCCTATTGGCCCATGCGAGGCAGCTCCTATTTATAACCACCCAATCACACTCATATACATGTCCAACCTATGCTTGAAACAATCGAGGGACCCCACCTCCACCATGTTACGCGGCAATTGGTTCCACAAATTAACAACCCTGTTACCGAACCAGTATTTACCCAAGTCTTTCCTAAATCTAGTGAAGCTTTAAGCACTACCTGTCTCATGGTCCGTTTTAGAGCTAATAAGGGACTACCTTCAAGAACAGAATCTAAAGAAAATTTCTCAATGGAGTAGAATCCGAGAGCCACACAATTGGTGCCAGTGTACCACAGGGTAGTGTGCTTGGCCCTCTGCTGTGGAATGTTTATTTCAACGATCTACTTCACCTCATTCCTGAAGCTCACGCCAATGCTGCCCGCTGCATCCTAACCTTTACATATGGAAAAGAAGAAATACCAACTGCTACAAGGGTCATTAATGATGAACGTTCAGTAATGTCTACCTGGAAAAGGCAATGGCAATTCACATTTTCGGCTGAGAAAACACAGTTGATGATAACTAGACAGCATATTGCAAATCAAACAAGCATACAAATGAGTGGTAAAAACCAAGTTTATCTCTGTCAAGTTCAGAGTTGAACTTGACATATTGCGAATGAAGTTGGACTGGTTAATGACCATGAAGCGCCACATGTACAACCTAACAAGCCAGGAAACTTACAGCTCTATGACGCATCTCACACCTTCTTGACAGCAGCGGCTGCAAAACCTGACATGAAGCACAAGTTTGTTCCCATCTTGAGTTTGCACCGCCTCTCCTGACCCCACCCTGTCAGTCATCAGAATCTTTAACACGCAGAAGAGGTTACCTTGAGGTTACCTTGAGGTGCTTCCGGGGCTTAGCGTCCCCGCGGCCCGGTCGTCAACCAGGCCTTGAGCCGTGCAAGAAGGTTCATCCGTATTAATGACCAAGTCTGATTGGATTGGTCTGAACTTCAGAGCCCCCAACACCAATGAGATGTTGGCGAACTTACTGATATGTATAAGGCCAATATTCTCAAAGTTCCTCACCTGGCCTAATTTCGTGGACAGGTAGAAGTTGGCACATAACACAAGGCGCTCAGCCACGAACAGACTCATGCTGATAATACCTTTCCCAAGAACATCACTCCATCAGCACTAATTCATTCTTAGACAGAGTGGCATCTGTAACTTGTGCATTAACATGTAGAGATAAGCAGGATATGTAGTCAACCCACCACACCAAGGTTCTGCTGCACAGTTACCTCCTGGCTCATCCTCTTCCTTACATGATAGCTACTAAACATTAAAGTTAATATATTCCTAATGAATATCAATAATAATCTCATGAAATAAATGAGTCTCTAGGGGCAGGCTTCAGATGAGCTCATGTAGGATAACAGCTCTTGCTTGCAGTTTCACTAGAAACCTCCAGGATATTCCAGGTGAACCCAAGT